TTGGCATTGCTCAGATTTATTCTCCTCTCCTCCCTGTAAGGAACAAAATTTGGCATAAATAAATGATAACTGAGAAAATGGTATAAACAGAAGAGTCAGTGCAGACATTCTCCAGCCTCCCACTGGAGGTCAGGAGACTTTGTGGGAGCAAGTGGTTTCCCAACAAGAAAGACAACGGTGGTTCAGGCTGCTACTGTTTCATTTGTGTTTTAATAAAGAAACTCGCACTTTTTCCTTAATGATTCAAAATGGCACATGAGCCCCCCCCACCCAACCCGTCCCCCAAAGCTTTTTAGACAGCTAATGCACCACAACTGTTCAATCACAATGGACGCTTTGCCAGAGTGCTGCCGCCCCTAGAATGGGATTTGGTACATTTCATACCCCGATGGATTTAAATTGTGTGGAGCTGATATTTAATACAAATGCAAGCGCCAGTGGAATCTGCATACTTAATATGCACTCTCTAACTCTCAGGACTGAGCAGTTGATCTATGGGGCACAAAGGGATCATCCTGCTTTCAAAGAGAATATTTTATGACCAGGCAGTTTAAAAGGCACAGACATAAACAACTGTTTGCAGCCCTCGCCCTCTCATCTTCAAAAGTCAAAAAGTACATGTAAGGACATGCTGCTGTAGAAAAAACATTTAAGAAAACCACTTGAAATGTTTTCCTTTTCTGTGGGGACAACTGGATGTTTGATAGGTACTCAAGAGAGTTCGTGTAAGTTACTTTATTATGCCTCTCTCTCTTTTTTCTTCTTTCCTCAGAGAGGGGTAAGAGATTTTGTGCAGTCACCAAGCTGAAGGTTTTACAGCTAAAATAATAAAAATGCCATTTAATGTTTTTACACCATCACTGAACATTCCAGAATTTTGGAGATGGTGTCAATTTGAAATGTATAACTCAATTTAATCTCATCACTGTGACTTTGTAAGGAATTTACTTGAATAAATGAATGAAATTAAACACCTATTTTATTATATTGCATGTCCTGACTTTCGATTCCTAATATGTGCTGAAATCTCGGCTTAACCATGCTGCTATTTGCAAAGCCATTATTTAAAAAAACGACATTCTTCTTTTTTGTTATAACTCAAAAACCAAGCAAACAAACAAACTCACTGCCATGAAGCTGATGCCACTCATAGTGACCCTGTAGGACTGAGCAGACCTGCCCCTGGGCGGTTCAGAGACTGTAACTCTTTGTGGAATGGAAAGCCTCTTCTTTGTCCTGAGGCATGGCTGGTGGTTTCCAATCGCTGATCTTGTGGTTAGCAGCCCAGCAGTTACTTACGGTTACTAAACACCTCTCTTCATTACTTTCAAATGCTTCTTGGAGAAGTCAGACATGCAGCAAAGAGCTTCCTCCTCTTTCTAAACGACGTAGGGAGACAGGGAGTGGGGGGAGGGGGCGGTGGGGGTGCTTGAAGAATTTCTGGGGCTTCAGTCCTGCCTCCTCAACACCTCTGGGGACTCCAGGGGCTCACCCTCGAGCGAGGTCAGAGCTGTGTGCACCTTATGTGTGGAATTATGTGTGTGAATCATTTATTGAGTTCTTGGTGCAGAGTTAGGGAGAATATATATATATATATAAATTTCTGTCTTTACAGAGTTGGCAATGTTAAGGAAGCCAGGCATGTACACATGAAATAGAAACTCAGTGTACAAGGCGGTGCTGTACCTGTCATTTACTACAGAAGACTCAGACCAGGAGCAAGATTGCAGTCACTCAAGGCCACCACGTAGGCAACTGGGCTGGCACTGAGCTCCACACAGGCCCCAAAGGAGCAGGCCCTAAATAAATAAATAAATGATAACAATCCACAAGAAAACGAGCCACAGTGACCAAAGACTGCCCCTTCTGTCTGATGAAAAACGACATGAAGGAGAAAGGGAGGTTGAGGAGCTGGACCAGCGTTTCCATTGTGCCTGCGCCTTGGGAGGTTGGTTCTCTCTCCCAGGGTCAGGCTGAAGATGCGAAATGCTCCAACTTATCGACACAGGATCGGCAGAAGCAAAAGCGAGGGTCCACGCAGAAGCCTTAACTCTAGAACCCCAGTCCCCCGATGGCCCGGTGACCGACCACTGGGAGAACGAGACTTTTGGAGACTTTTAGAACCGCTATTCTCAGATGCATCCTTGGGGATGCAAGAGACTTCCTTTTCTCAGCTGGAGGGGGTTAGGTGGGCTGCAAGGGGGAAGAACTGATGGATTCACACCAGTTAAGGTGCCTAACAGCCCCCCACCCCCGATAGTCTAAATGACCTTTACACGCCCTCCACGGTGGCCCCTGGAAAAATATCACCTTGTTTCCTCAGTCCCTTACCTTGCCCTGCTTCCCAGAGCCTGGCTGCCACTGGCAGGCACGCCGACGACGTGAGAATTCGCTCTGCCTTCAGAGCCAATGTACCAGCGAGGGGGAAACGAAGGCCAGAAAATTGTTGCTATGGGCTCTGTTTTGTGGAAGTTACAATGCTGGAGCCAGAATCTGATTGCTTGATAGCTCCATCTCTCTCTCTCTCTCTCTCTCTCTCTC